AGAGCAGGTTGGAAGGATAATTTTGCTGCGTTTGGAATTAATCTTGGCAGGAACAAAGCTACAGCTGATGCAGAGTTTGTAAATTTTCATATTGCTTCAAAACTGTGATATACTTTCTTCTCTAACTTACCTTTCCTTACCTCTCTCTTTATTTTTGATGTACCTACGAGTCTTTATTATCAAGTTTTAGTGCAAGAGTAGACTATGAGATTGGAATTAATTGTTTCGCGCCATACTCTGACTACCTCGTCCTAAACATATCATCTCCCAACACACCTGGCCTTCGCTCCATGCAGAGGAAATCTGATTTGGAAAAGGTTAGTGTTCTTATGCCATATGCTCATCGGAATGTAACCATTTTTCAGTTATTACTGCATACAAAATATGTGCTTGACCAAATGAAACTTGATTCGCCACCCAAAGTTTTGCTTAAAATTGCACCAGATCTAATTGAATCTGAAAAGAAGGATATTGCAAAGGTATTTTTATAGCTTACTAACTATCTTCCTTATTTTAACAAATCTGAAGGTCGTTGTTGATCCCAAATATGGAGTTGACGGTTTGATAGTCTCTAACACCACAATATCTCGGCCAGGCAATCTCCTTAGTGATAAGCGGACCGAAAGTGGTGGACTTAGTGGAGCTCCGTTACGAGAGATGAGCACTGAATGTGTAAGGGAAATGTACAGGTCAGTTAACAGCTTTATATCCAAAAAATAACTGACTGGATGGTTTAGATTGACTAAGGGTCAGATGCCTATAGTTGGATGCGGTGGCATTGCAAGTGGGAAAGATGCTTATGAAAAAATTCGTGCTGGTGCTTCAGTGGTTCAGCTCTACTCAGCGCTTGCTTTCCAAGGATTCCCAGTTGTAGGAAAGGTAGGATTGAAGTCCAAAACTTTCTCTTCTAGTGAGGTGCACTTTTGTGTGACTATTCTTACCTCTTGAATGCCGTTTTTTCCAGATCAAACGAGAGTTGGTTGAACTGCTCAGAAAAGATGGTTTTTCAAATGTCACGGAAGCGATCGGTGCCGATCACCGGGTCCAACGATAATCTCATTGTCTTTTTTTCAATCGTCATAATGTGATGTATTTTTAATTACATTAAATTACAATTACATTAAATAAAATATGTTTTATAATTTCAGTTTTTAATCACTAGTAGCATTCACTAGTGTGGATTACCTGAAAAAGCTTCGTTAGATGGTTTATAAAACCAACAAGAAAAGTTTATCTTTCGTTGGCTTGCATTTGTGATATTATTCTTTCCACTATACACTCCCGAATACCCATCGAAATCTGTTATTTGATGAAAGTTCTGAAACAGTTTATATCAAAATTATTCTTTTCAAGATCTATTATCTCTGATGTCCAGCAGCATACCCTGGAAAGTTGCTCGAAATGAAATCAGTGAGCAGATTACATATTTTTAAAAGATTATTATCCTCTCTCACTGCTTTCTTTCAGTTTCGAAACGGTTTGCTTTTTTGGGAAACTATCCACCTTGTCCTTGGTATCGCCCTTTAAAGTCAGAGGTTTGTTCTAAACTGGTGTTCGCCTGTACCTTTTAAATCGATTCTCACTCATGTTCAGTTCACAGCATTGGTAAACGTGACACCAGAGGAACAGGAACACTTTATGAATGATGAAGTTCGACTTTTTTTAGCGGTAAGTCATTATTCTACGCCCAGACAATAGCATAATGAGGGTCTGAGATAGTGTGCAAAAAAAA